CTTCTGTGTATTTCAGTTACAAAATAAAAAAGGATATCAAAACCAGATTATTGAATAAAGATTCTTCAAGAATGCAAGAAAAGCAAGCCTTGTGAGGAAAACTTTTTTCATGTTGTTCGCTGGCCGTCTAGCTTCACATGGTCACGTGTTGTGAGGACAGCACAATGAGCGATATCCCTGAAGATCTGGATCCACTCTGTGTGCAGTTGGATCTGTCTCCTCTTTGTTAGGTGTTGCTTACAGTTTTGTTATTTAAGAAAACAGTAATATAACTCCCTGGTGGTCCAGTGGTTAGGATTCGGCCCGGGTTCGATTTCCAGTCAGGGAACGTAATTTTATGGGGGAGTGGTGGCCTAGTGGTTAGGGCATAGAGCTTGGAATTCTGAGGTTCTAATTTCGAGCCCCACTCCCACAGACTGCCACTCTGGAACTCTGAGTAAGAGGTTTAACCCCCGATTGCTCTAAGAGTGCCCCATGATGACAGCCCACTGCTCCCCGAAGGGGATGGGTTAAATGCAGAGGTAAGTTTCTTCAACGTCCATCCATCCATTTTCCATCACTCTTTTCCTAAGCAGGGTCGCAAGGAGTGCTGGTTCCCATCTCCAGCTGTCTATGGGCGAGAGGAGGGGTTCACCCTGGACAGGTTGCCAGACCATCGCAGGGCAACACAGAGACAAACAGGACAAACAACCATTCACACACACCTAGTGAAGTTTAGAGAAGCCAATTAACCTAAAAGTCAGGTTTTTTGGACTGTGGGAGGAAGCCGGAGTACTCGGAGAGAACCCACACATGCTCAGGGAGAACATGTGAACTCGATGCAGAAAGACCCCGGGCTGGGAATTGAACCAGGAACCTTCTGGCTGCAAGGCAGTGCTCTGTTTGATTAAATACTAGAATTATAATACAACTATGTTTTATAAATATAATTTAGCTGGTGATATACAGAAAACAAATAATTAAGAGAACTACCAACTGATTTTTATTTTTTGAGTAGAATTGGTATTAATATTAGGTGACAGGACATGACAGATTAAAAAGTCTACCTAAAGGACAAACAATTTGGTTAAATAACATTTTTCAAACGTTTGCAGATCTGTACTATTTCACTGGGTTGTTTTGGATAGATTAATCAGTGGCAGCCTCGCGTCGTTTTGAGTAAACTGATCTACGAACCAAGACCTCTACACAAAACTCCATTATTGATCGGGCAAATATTTTTTGTCCATTGAGAGAATATAAATGGATATAATAACGAATCTGAAAACAATGTTGCTAAAGTTATTTAACACATTTGCTTAATTTTGGCGTTCAAATAAACTATTTTAGAGTCTGTCTAATCAAAATGTTCTCTTGTAAGCTTGCTGGCTCCAATTTCTACCGCCGAAGCTAGCTTTAGCATGCTCCAGTAGCTAAAAAAAGAAGGGTAGTTTTCAGCAAAAGAACAATCAAACCCAACAATAAGTTGTACACCGAACGACGAAAACTAAGGTTTTCCACGTCTATTGTTGAATAAGGAGAATAATAGAGAGGAAGCTATAATGGAGAGCTGATGTTACCTACCGCTGTCTGCCTTGAACCGCTCATGCTGTGTCTTTAGCGCCTCGTTAGCATTCTGCAGGTCAGTTACAAACTTCTCTAGCTTGTTTTGGACACCTTTCGGGAGTTTATTCAACTCCGTCCGCTCCAAAGCTTGCAGCAAGACGGCCGCCATCTCCACCAACCCCTCTCCGGACTGTCCCCCAAAACTGACCAAAAAAGCTGGACTGGAAGGTCCTTAACTGTGTAACAGAAACGGGCAAAAACTGAACGGAGAAAGGATGTACACTTTAGACTTTCAAAATAAAACTCTTTCCGGTGCAACGGGTCCCTCTTTTTACTGTCAATTATTGGTACATGTGTTGAGATCAATGTTTATTTAGTCGAATAAAGTTATTAACGCTTCTAAATAAGACTGCTTAGGCTCAAAGTCACATCACTTATGTCTGATGGCTCAGTGACTTCTAGTCTTATTTTGGAAAAAATATAGAAGTCTATAGTTACGATATAAATCGGCGACGGATATACGTCATCAAATAACGCGTTAAAGTTGTAGTTTTCTCATTTTTTTACTTTGCTGACGAACCACAGCCAGCTGTCAGGACAGCTTTCAGGTTTGTAAATGTTTCGTAGTTTAACCATGTGAGAAAAATTCTGCACTTATGTGAAATTTGTTAAACTCCAACATGCGGGTTCTTTTAAAAATGTAACCTGTCAAAATGCCATCATAAAAATGTCACACACCCCAACTAGCTATCGCTACTAAGACACTCGACCACATTAATGACAATAAGCTTGAGTTTTGTTACTGTTAATAACTTCTCTGCAAGTGAAACCGTTGTCTTGTTATTTTATGGGTCCAAGTCCTCTGCTTGTCTTTCATAGAACTGTTTTCCACTGCAAACCCATTACATGTAACATTAAGTTAATGAATTGATACAACTCCTATTTGTCTTTGTTTTGCAGTATGGGTCGCAGCTATATTGTTGAAGAGGATGTAGAGGGATATTTGTCCAAACTGTGCTCACAGCTCACAGGTCCAGTTACAGGGCTGCTTATTGGACAGGTGGGTCTTTGCACATATTTTCACCCCTTTTAGCATTAAGCCGGGTGAACACCACAATTTAGACTTAGACTCAACTTTATTTATCCCTTAGGATTAGTCCTTCAGGGAAATTCTACTTCCAGTAGCTTATATAGAGTACAATGAGTTTAAACAAGATACCTTTAAAGATAAAAAAAAATACAACAGACAATATAAAAAGAGTGCATATAGTACCAAAAAAGCATAAGAGAAAAAAGTTGTAATGTCCTGGAATATGCCTTCCTTGCATATAAAAATATCTGCACAGTAGAGAGGTAAGGGACGACTACAAAGTAGTTGACTTGGGTTATTGCACTTGCACTGCAGAAATGTAATGACCATATAAATACATTTAACCTATTTTTATGAGACAGGTCACCACAAGCATGTGCATGGTGGAAGAAAGTGTCCTCACAGCATGATGTTATCTCAACCATGTTTTATGTTTGGCGGGGTGTAGTTGGGATTTATGTGTTTAGTAAGCCTTCCTTCACACATTCTATTTTTTTCTAGTAGTTTTTGGCTCATCTGATCACATGTACCCATGTGGATTGTGGAAAACTAAACACATTTTCTATGGTTTACTTTTAATGGTAGTTAAGTTCTTCCAACCTTTCCCTGAAGGCTTATCAAGAGTTGGGATGTGTTATTTTATTGCTTCTCTATTTATTGTGCTAGCATTAGTGGCCTATATATCAGTGATTTGTTCAGAGTTTGAAATATATATTTATTACCCAACTACTTTAATCTTAAACATAGTTTAAACTTATCCTGACCTTCACTTTAAAGGTATAGTGGAGGATGTTCTTTATCCAGGGGGATCATCAAAATAAGTGGTCCTCCTATGTCAATCATTCTAGTGATATGTTTACGTAAGGCTGTCCTATGTGCTCGTCCCCATTTTCACTTACCGGTGGTGAGTCTGAGATAGTGGAAAAATTGCAACTCTTCTGTTGGAAAGTAAGCTTCAATGAGCGATGTAAACAGCAACTTTTAAACTGAGCGTGCATGAAAAGAAATTGGCTCTTGCATGCTGTCGTTTAATAGGCGTTCCCTTTTGGAGCGGGTACAGGGTTGTGCATGTGCATTTTTTTTCTAAGTGGAGAGGACGCGAAATCCTCGACTATACCTTTAATGATACTGTTGTTATTTCATTCATGCATTCTGCCCTTACTAAACGCATGTGTAGATAGATAAAAGGATACATTTAGGATTATTTTCACTAATAAGGTGACTTTTGAAGGGAATTGGTAGCCCCAAATGTTATTAATAGGTATCAGAGTTAAGGAAAATAACTATAGATTGACGTTTTTCCTTGGAAAAATTATTTACTCTTTTCCTTCTATTTGTAAAAGTGTATGTTTTTTTTTGTTAATGCATCAAATAAAATACATTCTAAAAATAAAATACATTCACAACCTTCAAAAACTCTTTTTTTTTTTTTACAGTGTCCTGTCTGGCAATGTGGCAATAAGAATAATTGTCTTGATGCCAAAAAGAGCCTAACAGATTTTACTTTCAGAAGTGGAGCAGTAGGGCTATCGCCATAGTGTTCCACTTGATTTATGCATATAAATTGCTTTATTATAATTATGCAGGGAGTTTTACAGATTATATGGATGCTACAATGTAAATACACAATGTATTTTCGGATTTTTTTCCATGGTAAAGGCTCCGTAGGTTGGTTAAACTTTTTTTTTTTTTTTTTTTTTTTAATAGACTGATATTTATACTGAATACATCATGTCAAAACAACTAAATTAGTTTAAAATTAAATGAAATTAGTCAGTAAATGTAAAAAAGCTTCTTCAAAGTCATAAGGTGCTATTTGAAATCACTAACATAATAGTTTAATTAATATCTTAGCTGAATGACTGTATTCATGTTGAGAAGTGATATCCAGTAATATTAAGCGCTGAATGTTTTAGAGCTCGGTTCAAAGGGATTTTATCGTCATGGCAACAAGGACACCCCAAAATGAGTCTGCAGATGCTGGAAAGTCAGTTGACAAGGAGTGGGTGTCTGAGCATGCAAGACAGGTATGTAAAACTACCGGTACTACTAGTATCTGCATTTTTACGTCTTTTCCTGGATCGGACCTGAATACGTTTTTTTTATAGAATATGATTCAGTTTCAGTGGTATTACAACATCCAACATGGAGTAATATGTCTAAATGTTAGCCAGTGTTGAATGCTTTAAATATAAAACATTTGTTTGTGGTTTTCCAGGTATCCAGGATGCTGCCTGGAGGCCTGTCTGTGTTGGGAGTTTTTATGGTCAGTGAGAGTGATGCCAAGGACACCCTAACCACCCTCCGACAGGTACAGGGGCTTTGTGCAAGCATGAAAAATTGTGATTAAAAACTGGACATTTTTAAATGTTATTAACCTGTAATTATCTGCTATTACTACTTGTCTGCAGTTATTTTACACTTCATCTGCATTTATTACCTAACATAGCAAATGCTTTTGCACAAAACGTAAAAAAAAAAAAACTTTTGTTCTTTTTCACCTTAAAGAAAAACAAAAACATTTTTTTTTTTGCAGTTTTTATGAAACCAATGGAGCAATTGTGGAATATAAATAAAAAGCTTAATATGTCATTCCTGGCTTTTACCATCTACCCTCCTGATTTTATTGTCAATACATAATTCATGGCTTCCACACTGCTCCCTGGGTGCTACACAATGGCAGGCCACTGTTCCCCAAGGGGATTGGTTAAATGCAGAGAGTGAATTTTCCCATTGTGAGACATTAAAGGGATTTACATGATATTTACATTCAAGTCTCTAACTAAGTGGTGCAGGAATACGGTACAAAACCAAAGTTAAACGTTTCTTATTTTCAACATCGTCATATAATGTTTTGCCACAGTTAGATTTATTATCTCATTGCTATTCATCTTTCACACAGCCACTGGAAACGGATTGTAGTTCAATCTAACTGCACGCGACCATTAGATCAGGATTATGTTATGCGCTGGTTCTCTTGGGAAATGCAGCCTTCTTCAGGCAAAACAATACTGCTTTTGTCCACTGGGGGAGCCAAATTCAACCGAAAGTGCGTTAGAACTGCTTTAAAACGGCTATAATCCTTAAAAAATATGTCCAAGTAGCTTCTGCTGTGGTTGCTTATTGAACTGCAGGCTCATCAGGAGTCTCTCTGTGTTTGTTTGCATAGTTTCTGTTTTCAGTGGAGAACCTGATCTCCTCGGAGCAGCTCTGGATGCCTGCTGAAGATGATGTAAAAGACTGTGTCACGCTCCACATCAACCCCAAAACCAGAAAGTATCCTTTTTCCCAGAGACGCTATGTTGTTTCTACCGCACACCATGCAGAGGTTTTTCTCAATCTCTACCATCAGAACTGTCTGCAGAACCTTTGATGTCAAAGACCCAAAGGTTTGTTTTGTCTTCCCTCTTAAACTGCAGAAGCTCTAGTCTATTTTATCTATTTTTGTCTTAGGGAAAAGCATGATTTATCTGTAATAATTTTTAAAAACAAGAATGACTTAATTTGAATTAATGGAGAATTTTCTCTCAACCACGTTTGAAAAAACAGTTTTTATAGCTGCTAACAAGGACTTTTCACAATTCTTGTTTAAAATTTGGATTGCTGTTACTGTCAGAAATGGAGGAAAGGTCTTTGTTTAAAAAATATTTCATACATTTTCTTTTAGGATTGAGGCCAATCCAAGAAACTAAATCTTAGTCTGGAATAAAACTAGTGTTGTTTTTAAAAACTTTTCCCTATTTGGTCACCCATTTGTATTTGAGTCAACTGTCAAGCTATTGTTTTTTCTTAAGATGCAAAATTTAGTCCTATTTATTTATTTAGGCACCAGCACCACTGTGAGTGAAACAGACCTTTAGCATGATGCCGCAACCACCATGCTTGACATTTTGTTCTTGCTCTTAGGTGTAAAAACCTCAATTTGATTGCTCTAAACAAAGTTGTTTATTTAAGCCAAACAGTCAGACACACCCAATCTACACAAGTTCTGCATAAATTAATCCTTGCAAACGCAAATAACCTAAAAGAAATTACCTTTGCTTTACAGGTGGACTAATCAAGTCATACACTAAATGATTATTGGTGCATAGAGAGAGCATGTTGTGCTCAGATCATGTTTTTTTTTCTTTTTTATGTTTCAGAGTGTTGCCAAGCCCGCCGATTGGAAGTACCAA